ACCCCGATCGTGACTTTGTTGGATATGGAAGAAACATCTCTTAAAAGATAACGATTTTCGTGCCTTAGAGTTCATTAGTTCTTTCCAAATTTTCTTACATATTTCCCAACAATCTCCACCCCATTCGGGGTGTGGGCTCCAGAGGTATTGGGTTTGTCGGATTTTTTTGCGATCTCTATGTTAGTTACATGCGCGAGGTCTACTTTTTTAACTTTCAACCAAAAATTAAAAAGAGCAAATTGGTCTTTCCGCACTTTCCATTTAACAAAATTTAAACATATTAATAAAAAATGAAATAAAGGGAAAAGAAAAAGAAGGGGAAATATTATCGTCTTTCCATAACCCCCACCCCTACCGTGACCCACCACCGCATTGAAATAAATACAAGTGTGACGAAATATTAAAAAAATACAAAAGTGTGACAAAATGAGGTATTTTGACAGAAACAACCATCAACAATGAGGTATATTAATTAATTGAAGTTTGAAGATAAAAATTTGATTAAAAAAGTTAGGAACATAGGTACTACAATAAGCAAAATTTGACGACATATAGTACAATTATATTATGGTGCAACAAGTAAAAATTGTGATTTTAATATAACCGATATTATTTAAATTGTTTAAGTGAAAACTATAAATAGGTCATTACGTTCTAAAAACTGGTCAACTGGATGTCAATAGCTTCATATTTGGTCAATTTGACGATTTTTTTTCTTAAAATGCATACTTTACAAAACGTTTGGAATAACAATTCCAAAATCAGACGTTTAGGGACCTCAGACAAAAAAAAAAAAAATACAAATCATTCCATCTTGAATTTTTTTACAATTGAATTGTGTTTAATTGGCTATATTTTTCATGTAAATGTCATTTTCACTCAAATTCCTACTTTTGAAGAGTTTGGTTGTCAATTTTTTCCATAAAAAAATATTTTTCAACTTTTGATCATGCGACTATATTTTCTTCAAAAACAAGGATAACATTTTTTTAGGACGTTGTGGTTTCTATTTTTTAGGTAATCCACTCTCTTTCTCTCTCTTATCTATCCCCTCTTCTATCTACATACCAATAAAAAATAGATAAGTATAATATTTTCTAAATTGAAAATTAAATCAGCAATGAAATTTTTTCTCATGCTTTTTATCAACCTAAGATCCTGTTTTGAGTCCTATTTTTTTTTATACCAAATATATATTTTGTAATAGTGATTTGATGGATAATGTGTGATAAAAAATAAGGAAAAATTTTGTATGTACATATAATATTACTTTATTGAAAAATATGTTGTTGAAAATAAGAGAGAAAAATGTATTTTATAAACAATGAGCCCAAATAAGTACTAATATAAAGTATTCCTGATTATGGTTTATTTCCAAAATTTTCATTAAAATAGAGTAAAAAACTATTTTTTAGTACAGTTTTTGAATAAGTAAAACAAACGATCCGATTAAATATTTATCTCTCATTTTAGAACACATTAACAATAATTTATCAATGCAATGTAAAAACTAAGAGTGTGATGAAGAAAACTACTAAAAATATAAGTATATTAATGAATAAAAATAAAAGAACTTTAATTTAATTAAAATATGATATATTTATAAAAAATATGATATAAAAATAATCACCTTTTTGCAAATTCAAGAGCGATTCTTGTAATTTCGACAGACGTGTTCCTATATGGCCTCCATTAAATTAAAATTAATTTTTTTCCCTTTTTATCAATCATTCATTCTCCAATAAAATAATATTATACGTAAACATAAAAATCAATCATTCATTTTTAATCACACATTCTTCATAAAATTATTACTTCCCTCATTATAATTTGAAAAAATGGAGCCCAAACATGGCTCAATGTTAGACGTTGTTTGATTCTCAGTCTCCAAAATTCATTATTCTTCAAATTTATTTTTAACCATACATTCTACAAGATTCACAATTTTTTATAATTTTTTCAACAATATATTTCATAAAGCCCCGTGTTTGATCCACATTATTTTTTTCATTCTCATTCTTCTACTTATTTTCAACCACACATTCTTCAACAAAATAATATTTTTCATCACATCAATAACTTTTCCTTCATTTCCACTACATATTCCTCATCACATCACTTCAAAAAAATACATTCTTTCATTTTAATGTGCACCAAACAGGCTCTAAGGATTGATTGCCAATATTTTCCATGATTTTTTTCACCAAATTCTTACTTCTGTGCTTTTTGATTAGCATTTTTTCATGGAAAATATTTTTCAACTTTTAATCATATGATCATATTTTCAGACAATTCACACACTCCCTGATTTATGTTCTCTGTCATTTATCTACTAATAAAAGATGAACAAGTATAACATTTTTTAGATTTAAAAATTAAATCGATAAACACACATTTAATTAATAATTTTCATGCAAATAAGTTTTAGATAATTCAATTATTTAGAATTTATTTTCTTTTCATCCAAATTCCAGCTCGCAATCAAACACTACAAAAAAAATTGATTTTTAAGCAAACCGAACAGGGCTTAATCGTGCCACCCTACCCCACTGGCCACCGTCCCAACACTGAAGTAGAAGGCTATTTTTTTTCTTTTTATTGTAAGGCCTTGTTTGATTTGACTTTCTTTTTCATGGAAGTTGGAAATTAAATTTCATTTTCACTTTTTTGTATGTTTCATTGACTAATTTTCTATTTTCTTGGTTTTTAAGGAAAAGCTTTTCATATGAGTTTGGTGGAAAAATATTTTCTAGACAACTTTTTATTTTTATTATTTTTTGGCGATTGAAATAAATTTTATATCAAATTGTAACAAATTATATTCATTTAATGGACAATTTTCATAAAAAAGCCAAGACGAATACCAAAAAATTCAAAATTTTAATATTTTTGAGGTGAAAAATTATACTAATTAAACACAATTAATTGACAATTTTCAATAAAATAAATTTTAGACAATTCAATACATGAAATTCATTTTACTTCCGTCCAATTTCATTTTTGCAATCACACATACTCCAAAGTTCTTTGCCGAGTAAAAAACGATCGACATTTTTTGCAAAACAGCCATTTTAAGCTTTTAACCCGCTGCTGTCTTCAATAACCCGGCAGCCGCATTTCTCAGGTTTTAGGGCAAAGAACGGCTGCGGCAATCGATCCTGGTATTTATCTCCTGTTCACCTCTGAAACCCTAATTTCAAGCACTTTTTGGACTGACAGAAAAAGATTAATAGTTTGAAAAGGCTAAATTTTTGATTCACTGTTTTATCCATTCGGTTGAGGTTCTTACCGCAATCAATAGTCGGCCTTTTCATCTGCACGTGTTTGTACGTGCGTGTGTAGATTGGTGTTTGAAGATTTGGTTTTTGGAGGTGTATGTTTCTATTATTCTCTTGTTTTTGC